CCTACACTAATAACCAAAGACCCTAAATTCAACTGTTCTATTGGTACAGCTGTGAAAGAGAAGCATGGATCTCTCCTGTCCAAACACTTGAGCTGAGATCTGTTCCTGATGCTGAAAACACTTTCTCTTTTCTTCATAGGTTCAGTACTGTGGCTTGCTGTTTCGCCATGAGGGCTGGCCCCTGTGTATTCACGAGAAGATTGTAGTCCAGCTGGCTTCCATTGACTGGCGAATCTTGAAGCCTGGTGACTTCTACCTGCAAGTGGTCCCCTATCTCAAGAAGTCTCCACGAATTGTACTGAAATGTTTGGCAAAAGACAAGCATAATGTAGAGGAAGTTGTGATTCCAGAAGTTTCCTATACCTCTATTTTTACTCTGGAATGGTTGAGTACTATCAATGGAGAGCGGATGGGTATAGCACTGGAAAATTGTTTACTAACCACTGATGATAAAATATTTCGTGTCCCCTGGGATAAAGTGGTTAATCCCGAATTTATAAATAAACCAAAAATAACTGAAAACGATATCATCTCACCAGAAATAACAGAGGAACCATCGGTTTTGTGCCTCCCTGTGGACCATGCTGAGTGCAGTTCACCAGACCTAGCATCTCAGTATCTACAGGAACAAAGTCCCAATCGAGACAATCTGGTCATTAGTAGCACAGCTCCACAGCTGAGTGAAGTTCTTGTCAATGGTGTGTGTACAAGTCCTGTGCCTCAAGAGAACTTGAAAAGTGACCTTGAAGGGGAGTACGTTGAGCTGACAGAAGTTTCACTGCCCAGATTTGGGCCACAAACAGGCTCTTTAACCCAGTCGCTAGCTTTAAGTTATCTAACTCAGCCTAGAACACGAGTGAATGCGTCTAAAGGCAAGCACAGGTTTATTGTCATTCAAGACAGTACCTACTCCAAGAACTTGATTCAGTCAGCACTTATGCAGAAGGAGCACTGTCAAATGGACACTCTGAGGACTTCTTCTACAGAAGTTCTCAAAAATGTAATTCCGCTGGAAAGCAACAAAACGATGTCACATGGAGAACTGTCTCTAGAAAGTCAGCTGGTATCAGGTGGTCCTGGAAACATGGGGAATAGCTTTCCTGTGGTGGAGTCTCCTGCCTGCAGTGCAGAAGATTCATCTGCAGAGCAGGAGACCTGTAGCGACCACTCAATCGACTGGCGATATGCACTGTGCAGCTACAGTGACGTGTGTGATGGTGTCAACTGCAAAGGACAAATGCCTGGTGCTCCTGGAAATGTGGAAGGAGAAAGTGATGGTCCTAGCACAGATCCTGGTGTTGAAACATCAGAGCAGAGCCCAGAAACAATTCTAGATGCTGCTACTGTGCCTGCTAAACAGGAGGTGGTACTGAGAGGACATGGAGAACCACTGACTGAGGGTCGAAATGAGGTGACACAGATGGATCCCTCTCCTGTGTCTGTCTTGGGACCTTCGGGACCACATTGCACACTGAAGGAAGGTTCTGATGTTTCTTGCCAGAGTGTCAGTGAAAGTGTTGTGCCCATCCAGGCCACTACATTGCTTATCACATCTGAGAGTTCAGATGTAGGTGTGGAGAGAGGTTCTTCTTCAGGGAACGTGGCAAATGTAGGAGCAGTCAGTGCTTGCTGCAGTGATCAGGAGGCAAATCCTAGTTCTCCATTAAATCCTCTGGAACAGAACCAAGGAGAAGTAGATGAATTTGAGCTGGGAAAAAAGGTCAGCTCTGAGAAAATCAAAGAGATTGAACAAATATGGACTGTAAATGAGAATCAGACTAGTCACAGTCACTGTTCTGTCAAAGCTCCTACAGATGGACTCTTGCCAGATGGTGAAGAGCAAGAGGTCTCTGCATGTCAACATAAGAAAGCTGAAGAAGCCATACTACTCCAAACTGCTCTGTCAGTGGAGGGTGATCAGATGGCAGAACAATTAAATAACAGTGATTCTTTGATGGGCCCTGATGCACAAGCAGAAGGCTCAAGTCAATTCAGAACCCAGAGGTTTGGAGAGGGGTGTGAGGAACCACAAAGACAGGCAGAAAACCACGGCTGTAGAAGTGAAGATAACTCTGTGCCGAACCCAGAGTGTGTTGCAGTACAGGACTTGCAGGGAGGGGAAGAGAACCAGGGAAGTTTTTCTTATGGGGAAAAGTCGAAGACTATAGCGTTAAAAACACTGGAATCCATTGAAGAGGAACTGGAGGTTGGACCACTGTCCTCAGGACCTGCTGAGGGGCATACAGAGCCCACCGCTCTGCAGTCCCACCAAGAGGCAGCTTCTGGGGCATCATCTCCTAAAGGTACAGCAATTGGATGTTTGTGTGTTTATCTGTTTGATAACATAGATCGAAAGCAAAGCCCTCCAGAGGTACTGCTGACAAGTACGTCTGCTGGGAGGCTTTGGGGTAATAGCACAAACTACAAGAAAGTGATTAAGTTGCCATTTTTGTGGCTTGAAATTAGCTTTCTTTTCACAGGTGGGTTTATTGTAGGTGTTTTGTTTAATAGTTCTTTGCAAATTTACAGCTGTACAGAACAAAGTTCCAGTGTAAGAGACTTTTAATTTCATTTAATCTGATTGCTGGTGACCTCCACCCGTTACATTCATCATGTGCACATTATAGATGCATGCAACAGGAATACGTGAGGAGAGAATGTCTAACTGTACAAGTCTTTCATAGTTGAAAATTGGCTTTAGGAAGATAGTTGTGGCAAGAGGAAGCAGCAGTGGATGCCACAGTAAAATACTGGCTATATAACATGACCTGAAGATCAGTAAATGTGCGTGCTGGTAACTGATTTAAGAAGCAAACTGCAGAGTTGAGGGATTCCCCCTGCTCTTCCCTCCCTTCCCCTCTGGCGTGCTTTCTTTGGCTTGCTTGTTTCAAGTAGAAGCTGTTTAATTTGAGTGGGAGAGCACAAAGAAATTAAGCATCTAACTTCAACTCAAACGATATGTTCAAGCAAGTATTGCCCAGACTTCTTGATGCCTGGGTTCCTGTGCTGGAGCTGTGCTCCCTCAGAAGGAATTAAACAGGCAATCCAAGTCTCTCTGCCTTTTGCAGCAGACTATAGGCAGCCAGTGTGTAACTGCATGGACATGGTGTTGGCTTTGCCTAGCTCTTCTGAGCCTGAAAAACTGTAGCTAGATATGCAGATCACATCAAGAAGCACGTGTGTGGCGGGGGTGGGTGAAACATGCCATTCCAGTTCAACAGCTCTCATTCCCTGAGACCCCTGGCTAGGAAAATTACCTGGCTTGAAAGATTAGAGTGAGGACTCTTGAAAGGGTCAAAAATACAGACCCACATTGCGAGAGCATGTCTGACCCTGTGGTGGAACAGATCGAGAGCTGGTTGTCTTGGGATGGGCTGCCAGTGTAATGCTTGCACTGGTCCTGAATTGTGTGGCTAAGCACCTGCGTCACTGCTGCAGCACTACTCCATTTGGCTGCAAACACAGCTACTTTCTCAAGTGTCCAAGAGTCACATTTTACCTGATGCCTTAGTGTGACCTCCTAATGGAGCTAAAGTGTCCATTGATTAAAATGAAATTTCCTTAATACCTGCACCAAAATATTTTAATTCCATAATTAGGCAAGCCCCCAGTTGCCAGGCATTTCTGATACTTTTGGAGTGACAAGCATTTCTCTTCTGTGAAATGGAGGGCTCAGCTCAGAAGTTTCTGTTTCTGAAGTGTGCATGTCTCTGAGCATCTACCACTATGAGCAGGAAAAAAAGAGGTCACCTTCTGCCTTTCTGTAGCTCTTGGGGGATGTATGCTGGTAAATAACCATGTGGTGGGTATCCATTCCCTTGACAAAGCTAAACCTGGCTTGACTTCATGTTTGCACAGGACCAGACCTCAGAAAACCTAGGCTGTGAGTGCTGGGTGTACGCTTTCCTCATGACTCTAGTGGCTGCTTGTTCCGTGTTCCCATCTCTTCTGTCTAAAATTAGCCAGGTCTAGCTCGTGTATGAGGAGTATGATGTTCTCGCTAGTCCACAGGACAAGTCTTGGCCACTGCTGCAGATGTCAGCAATGACAGACCCCTCTGGGTTTTAATGAAAGACAATTTAAATGTTTCTGGGGATTTGGCTGAAATAAGTGACATATTCATGGCCCAATTCTGATGATGTTAAACTTTGGCATTGCAGTTAAAAAAAAACAAAACAAAACCAAAAAAACCACCAAAACAACAACAAAAAACCACCACCCCAACTGTTATCTCAGAGTTTGTAAAGTAAAAGAAACAACCTAAATCACCAGAACCCCCACCGCAAACTGACAAACTAAACTCTTTAAGGCAGAGGACAGCTTAAATATCTGTTAATGCCAGGAGTATTTCTTAAACACTATAGCTGGAACTGTGATAAGCTTAATCCATTCAATTACATGTGATTGCTTTGAGATCCAAACAAGCCGTCCCCTTATCTAGCCCCATTAAATCCTCAGAGATATAATAATAAGATAACTCAGAGATAAAATTACAAAGTGAAGCAAATGTCCTAATCTCAGTCCTACAAATGGGCTTTTCCCTTCCAGCCAGTCAGTCTGTAGGCAAGTTAAATTCTCTGTAACTGTCTCTTGTTGGGGTCATTTTGCTACTATGATTGGAAACTGTGGGTATCTTGCCTAAACTATAAATAACGACAAAACTTAAGCTTTACTGGGCCAATTCAGATCTACAGTTCACACCTCGATATTAGTGGGCAGACACACGATTTGCTCTATGTGAGGTGGAGGAGCCGTCTTGTTGCGGCAGACATTGTAGGTTATATCAAAATACACATTCAGAACTGGGGCATCTGAGTTTGCTGTGTCTGCGGGGTTTTCCTTGTCCTTTAACTCTCTCCCCTTCCTCCCACTCCCAGTCACAAACTGAGCTTATTTTCTGCACAAATATGATCTAACTTAGAAGATTTTGAGTCAAATGTGAGCTGTTTTGAGTTGGTGGCTTAAAACTTACACTGTTCCATTCACAGAAAATCTGACTGCTGTTTTTCCCTAATGACTAACTTTAAGTGAAAGTTAATTTTGAAACTTTGCAGCTCTGGAAAGAATTCCTATATTTTGGGGGTGCAAAATATCTTGATATTCAAGAAATTGGCTAAAAAACCACACTGGGGCATATTCAGCGGCACCTGTTAGGGCATTCCATTCCCACTCCCTATTACTACATGGTGTTAGCATAGATGATACTGGTGCAGGGGCAGTTTGCAGGAAAAATGCTAATGTCTCTTTGAAATGCACACAAGCAAATCGTTCTCTACCACTTCCTTAACCTTGGGGAAAGGTGGAACCTGCAAACATGGCAAATTCAGATGTCCCAGTTCTGAATTTGCTTTTTGATGTAATCCTCCGCATTCTACAATTTCCGCTTTAGTAAATGCCTCCACCCCAGATTGCAAATAACAAACAGTGTGCTTGGGCCTGTTTGGAGAGAGGTGGGGTCTGCAGATCTGAACTGAGCCCGAGAAGCTTAGGGAAGAGGTTTGTTTGGGTAAGATGTACGTAGGCTGGAGGCTGCACAACTCCAGTGAGGTTTCCTCGGGACTGAAAAGCCCCAGTACCAGGACCATGTCTGGTGGGCTGAGCAAAGTGCTTCTGTCTTCTAGCTTTCGGGACCTGTTACCTCATTTCTAAGAGATATCCAAGGCAGGGCTGCCGTGTACATTTATGTCTTTCTCTTGCCCTGGTATGGTACCTTCAAGATAGCTATGCTCCCTTTCTTGCCTTTTTTAAATGCCACCTTTTGGTCCTCTTTGCAGACTTTCTTCATTTAATGCAGGTTCATTGCCCTACAAACTGTGTGGTTCTGCTTATTGCCAGGCCTTACAGCTCCTCGAGAAGATGATTCTGTGTTCTCCTAGAAAGTCTATCAGCCCTTAAGTCGTGCCCCAAAGCTTTCACGTTATGTGACTCTGATCTTCAAGATACCCTATCTACAGGAGATCAGTGCCCCTCTAAAATGCTGCTTCAGGAAGATCTAGCAGAATTGGCCGAAGTGAATGACCTCTTGCATCACTGGAAAGCGGAGACTGAGGTAGTACTCGGAACAGAACTGAGCTCTGATGCATTCCAGAACTGTGCAGAGCCCTGAAGCCATCACAGCAGCTTACGTGGTCAAATGCAGCAAATGCCAAGCTGGGTCCCAGGGATGATCACTCAAGAGGGGTGTTACCAAAGAGTAATGAGCGGCTACTCCATCATGGCCTTGATGGTGCAGACCTCTGGAGCCCCTCCTAGTTTCCCCTCGCTGTCTGATAATTTTGTGCAGTGAGCCATGCCGCTTAGGGCATTTCTCTCACCTACTTTAGCAACTTTGAAAGCAGTTTGGGCTGAGCCTCAACCTGTAAATCTCCTTCACTGCTAAAACTTGTATTGAAAGCCACTTCAAGGACTGCTTTGTTCCTGGTCCTGCTCTTTAATGAAGTATTGGAATCTGTTAGTAAATAAACTGAGTCAAGTGTCAGCATTGTTGATGCAGCAGGAAGGTAGGATGGCTGAAGTCAATTTTAAATAGCAATTAAAACGTCTGACTTCATAGCAAGTGAATAAATACTCCTCTGTCTTATTTTCCTAAAGAGAGGTTGATTTTTTTTTTGTTGGTAGATACTGAAGTATCAGGATTTGCAGCGAAGTATAGCCTTTTCTTTGGTATATCTTTCTGCCAAACAGTGGGGTAGCCTAGTTGTGTACTTAGGATGCCAAAGATGTATTGTTGAAGACGTATTGTTGGCTTCTAATTCTTATAATGTTGGGAAATGGGAAATAATACCTCTTACACAGTAGGTATATTTCTTTTTTCTTCTCTCCAGCTACTTTTACATGAAAATTGAAACTTGATAAAACTAGCATTAGTTTCCATGTAGTAGCGAAGATATTTTAATTTTAGAATTAACTGATTCTGATAACTTGTACTTCAGAGCTGAGGTGTCAGGCAAAGGAAGCATCTTCTTCAGTTCTCAAACAGAGCTGATTGGTGTGATCATCCTGTTCTTCAGGGTTTTAAAATAGGTTTCTGACTTTCACATTAACTGTTAATTAAAAAAGTCTGGACGAGCAGAACAAGGTCTGTTTGGCTAATTTCCAGCTGATTTGTCAGCCTTGAGTTGACTTCATATTTTCAGGAACTAATCTGAAAGTGGTGTTGGGGGAGTAATTCTGCTCTGATGGAGCAGCTCTCCCTGTCAGAAGCTGGTTTATCACTTCAGCATGCTCAAGCTGCTGGAGCTTAGCCAGGGACTTGCACCGCGCCAGACTTTTGGGCTGTGAGCAGACATGTACTGCTTGATATGTTACCTTTTGAAAACGACTCTGACTACAGTAATCCTGATCCGAATTGAGTTTTTGTAACTTGCAAACTTCACAATGAACTGGTTTATTTTCCTAGAATTACAGCAATATTAATATTATAACCAGTTTTGGAACATGCATGCTACTGGCACAAGGACTGGAAGAGCTGCAGGGTGCTGGGGCTGGGGGCACATCCCTCCCTGGTCTGGGACTTACCTGGGACCTTTTGGGTGGAGCTCTGCTCTAGCTTCTGACTGCTCCTTGTCTTACAGGGACGGTGTCAGAAGGGGCAGAGACAAGAAAAGAAGCAACTGGCACAGATGTGTTGAAACCAGTGAGTAAAGTCAGTACCCTGGAGGAAACCTCAACACCTATTGCTCCCCTGATGCCCCCAGCTTCTGGGACTGCCTGGGGTGGTCGGTCTGCACCTACCATAGTCAAGGATGTGAACCCAGAAGTGCTCAGGAGTGGTGTTGCCTGCCTGCCTGGTGAGTAGTTGAGCCAGAATGTGTCTGGGAAGCATGGTTTGTAGGAGGGCAAGGGAGATGAGCTTCTGTTTGCAGTGCTGCAGACTGGTGCCAAGTCTATTTCTTTCACCCCAAACCTCTCCAGAAGCAACACTTCTGAATCCTCTAAAGTTTCTGAATGGGAAGGACAGGAAGTAGAACTTCCCTCTCATAAAAGCAATGTTAACTTGTTCCCAGGAGTCTCAAAATGTTAACCAAGCGCGTATGAGTCAGAAATGCCAAATCTGTGGGCTCATACCAGTAGTTCAAAAAGAGCGAGGATGCAGGTAATGATGGGCTGGTGGGCCTGACATCAGACCTGGTTGAAACAATAGGAACTTGATTCACTTGGTAGATAATTAAAGGATAGGAGTGTAGGAGATGCTATTTGACAGTGCTCTTGTAAAACCAGCTATTTGACAGTGCTCTTGTAAAACCAGTTTTAAGTTTTATTCTGGGTAATTAGAAGTTTGGTTGATTAAATGTACCTGCCTAAATATAATAGATTTTTAGAAAACATTTGATTTCATGACACATAGTGTTTCATGACACATAGTGTTGAAAGGAATATCCCAATGAAGTGTGGATGAGCAACGTGTGGGATGAACGATAGCGTAGCTAAATAGCAGATGACAAAACTAGCTATCAAGGGAGGACTTCCCAGAATTGTTCTGCCGAGATCAGTTGTAGGTCAAACGTTACTCAGTATTTGCATCTGATATGGCAGCAAGTATCAAATTGCTGCAGATAAAACTTCTGCATGGGACAAATATTGGCAGAGTGGTAAACAAAGCTTAAGCTGTTGGACAGAGCAGCCAGGATCGCTTGGTGTACAGGGCGCACACAAGAGGTCTTTGTGTTTAACCAAATATGAAGTGAAGTGGAGGAAGTGAGATCTACCTTGCCAGGGCAAAACAGCCGTTTGGCAGCGTCTGTGTAAGCAGCCCCTGTGGGCTTGCTTCCTTCCACAGCCAGTGAGAGGGTTGTCCAGTGCAGGGCAGGAAGATAGCTACATTCGATCAGCTCAGGAGCCACGTATGAGTTGAAAATTGTCCACAGAGTAGAGAAGAGGTCAGGCAGAGCTGTGCAGTGTGGAAAAATTGGGAAGGAGAGCAGAAAGGCAGCACAGTGATTTCCCACTCAGTGTTGGGGCTGCAAGACCAGTTTTGACCTCAGATGTGTAAAGAAGAGGGGAGGACTAGCCAGGTTAAGAAAGTCATTTTTACCTCTGTGTACTTGTTGGTGATGCCTCTCAAATAGTTTGGGATGTTCTGATGCCTTTGTTCTAAAGGAAATGGTGAATATTGGAGGTAGTGCAGAAAAGGGTGACAGCCCTTTCTTGTAACTGAATTGGATGTCTTATGGTAAGAGAAAGGAAGGTTGTTTATCTCATAAGATGATTGAGAATGAGGTGAAAACACCTTTGTGCAGGGAGGGAGGAAAGGGAAATAAGACCCTTCCAGTCTTCTGGAAGAAGGTGAAATGAGAAACCAAGTGCAGGGCAGAGTTCTGGTACATTCAAACATACTTTGCATTGGTAGGTAAACTGTTAAGAACAAATTCCAAGGGAAGATTTCTAATCATCTGATCTGCTGATCAGGTTGCATGTTTTAGGGTATGTACTACAGCCAAAAAATTACAGGGTTCGAGAGAGGGGTCTTTAAGAGAACCTCATAGTCCATGCTATTGTAGAAGTCTGACTGTGTGATCTAATGCTCTAGTTGTTTCCTTTGTCACAGACTCCTATCATAATGTACAAGTGTTAAACGAGGCAAATGCATTTGAATATGGGATAAAGGGATATGCCCTTGAAATGCATTGAAGAAACAAGTTTTGGATTTGATACCACTTCCAAGGGAGGATATCACGTTTTCTGTAGAAGCAGTATCAGATTTGACTGACATCTCTTCTCATGTGTCTCCTTTTGGATTTCAGTGGGCAATCCTCACACCTGAGGAAATGCTCTCACTGCCCAGTTAAATGCTTTATGTTAGACATTGGTAGTGATATAATGATTACGTTAGAAAGGATAACTTTTATAATGAATAGTCAATAATAGCTAATTAGTAAACTAGTAGCTGATGGAGTTAGGAAGAAATTTTCCTTTCAGGAGAGTTTCAATTCTGTATTCTTCTCTTGAATCATCTGGTTATGCCACTGTTAGCGACTGGTGGCTGCAGTTGCTTTTTTGACCTGGTCAGGCAATTCCCAGGCTCCTATATGGAAATTCAAGCTGTAATCAAGTTCTGGTGATGCCAGTCTCCCTGATGGACAAAAGATGTTTCAGAGTGTAAAAGTGTTGTGGTTTTTGTTTTTTTTTTTAACTGAGCCTGGTTATCAAGCTGTTTTTCCAGTAATTGAGTGCTTCGCTTTTTTTATTTTCTGATGATCCCCTTAGCTTATGAAACAAGGTATATTAATAAGCTTTTCCTAATTTCTCTCCAGCTCTTTGATTATACAGTGTCCAGAATACTGTATTTCAGGAATAATAAAACTCCTCCTGAATGACACAGACAATGAAAGATTTTGTCCCTGCTGTTAGCAGGAGAAAGCCTGTGTCACAGTTCTGGTCCCTGGGAGGGAGAAAGCCCTGCTTCTAAATGATGCCCATCTGTGTCTGTGGCCTTCACTCAAGTCATGTCCTAATGACAGATTGAGATCACACCAGGGCAGTTTTCTGTGCTTGGGGCTGTCCATCTGTATCTCTTTTTTACCTGTCAACTCATATGCTTGTCCCTGGGATGGGGAGAGAGGTGGTCCAGGACAGTATCTCCTCTGGTAGCAATAAAGTTCAGAAGAGACAGACATAGCTTTCTCTAAGCTTCTGGTTTTGTCTTATGCCTGGGATTTTTTTTCCCCTCATACAATTTGTATGACAGGAAATGGCTCCTGTTCTTGTGAATTACTTTTCACACAATAGAGGTGTAGTCCCTACTGTTCTCCAAATCGCTCACCTTCCTGGTGACGTGCGTGAGTGCAGAGCGTTGGTTGCTTGAGCAGGCTCTCACTCCACAGGCACTGCCTACTTTTGAATGGCAGCTCTGGGTCTCTGAAGTGGTGTGTCTGCCCGCTCTTTACCTCTCCTTTGCATCTGGAGAAGAGGCTGGATGTAATTCCAGAAATGGCACTGTTATGTCCTTCTCTTCATAGTTCTGTGTGCATGTTGTGGCTAAAGCCCAAAGCCACACTATCATTAAGTTTTGGGAGCTGATAGAGCAGGCTCAGTTCCTGTGATAAGCTGTGTCTTTGGACTTTTGGAAAGCAGGGGGCAGAGAACTGTTGTCATGGCTAGCTGAAGCAGAGGGGTTTCTCCTTCCTCAACATATCACAACTCAGCTGTGTTGCCTATACTATGCCTTATCTATTCCCTAGGCACTGAGCCAGCCCTGAAACTAGTGAAAGCCTGGCACTGACTCTGCCCTTGTCAGAGCTGCAGGCAGGCAACAGTGTGCTCCTGGGCTGTCCGCTCTGCAACCTCTGAGGAGGAGCTCCAGGCTCCTGCTCCAGGGCTTTGCTCCCAGGAGGAGATGTTTGGCTAAGTGCTAAGCTCAATGCGTGTGCCCACTCTCATTGGGTAGCACATTTTGTTCTGCAAACCTGTCTGCATTGTCTCATCTGACAGCAACGTGAACATTGTAATAGAAGTAGAGGTGAGATTATTTATCTTGAGTTTGAGATTCTTGCTTTTCTCACAGGTTGGCTTATCATTAGCCAACTTCAGCAATATTTTATGAAGAATGTGTGTTTGGGTAGAAGTCAGCAGTCCAGATTTAAAACTACCATGAGAGAAAGATGAGCAGAGCTCAGCTACTTCACTCTGGGGCAGCTTTGGGTACTTTGGAAGTGTGTTTATAGCCTACTGCAATCTGCAACATACACTATATCGAGTTCTGTGGAGCATTTCCAGGAAGGTGATGGGGTGGTAGTAGGGGAATATGAGGCATACACACCTGGAACCAGGCTCTGACTTCCTTGTGTGACTTTTTTCCCTACCTCACCTCTTTTTACAGGTACCAGAGATAAATCAGGACGTGCAGTGGCCATAATAACAACAAGGAACACAGCCTGGTTAAACCCCCACTGCAACACCACTGAGCTTGTACGCCTTCTTCTGTACTTGCATAGCATCCCAAGGTTTGTGGCACTCTTGGGCTGACAGGACAGACAGCTGCTGCCATGTCCACTTTGCCTTTCAGGGAGGTGGAAGCTGAGGCAATGAGTGGAACGGGTTGACTTTATTGGCCTAGGAACCTGGTCCAGACAGTCACAATACTGTACAGATGGGGATATCCTGCTAGGGTGAACTGGCTGGTGCTCAGTAAGCACTTTGGCTATTCTGTATGTGCCTTGTGCACATGCTGTGATAGAATTAGGTATGTACTGAATGTTTTCATGCACTGCCGTGAATCCAAGCCGGTCTTGCTATCCTTCATTAGCTCAGAAAATGGGATTTGGGACCTATGATGGGGCAGTCATGCAGCAGCTCCCTGATACAGTGTTATGACATGATATTTTTAGGGCCAGGCCTCCAAGCTGAGAGGGAGGGAGGATCTGCAAGGGTTGAAAAACATCTGCCGTCATGTGTGGCTGACAATTGTTTTTTGGAGACTGCAGACTGGAGTTTGCTGCAGCTACTCTTCCTTTCACTAAGACAGACTCTCCCCTCGAGCTCATCTCAGGCTCTACTGAAACTTTGTTTCACTTTTAGATCATTAAACTAATAAGAGGTAAAGCTAACTTTCTGTTAGTGATTTTTTTTTCTTTTTTTTTCTTTTAAGCCTTTAAACCATTGATAAGGGGAGCAGGCTTAACCCATGAGAAAGCTTCTGCTATTCATGCTTTGTGTCTTATGCTTCTCCCTTCAAATCTGGTTCTGGGCAAGATAGGCTTTGGGTCTGATCCAGAATGGCTGTTCTTGTGAAGCAGTGTGGTTAAGGGCAAGCTTGTCCCTGAATACAATTAGGAAGGACTGGTTTTCCTGTGTGGATTACCTAGAGCGAGTATCAGCACCTTTGCCATCAGTGAGAGGTATCATAGGAATTGGAGAAATGAGAGGTTCAGGTGGAAATAGCAAAGATAAAAACTAAGCATGTATATATTTTGATTAGGAGAGGGTGGCCAGTTAGTTCCCTGTCCTTACAAAGCCATAACGTACTGGTTTTTTTCACCCTGTCATGACTATGGGTTCTGTTTCCATAGTCTTGTTGATTTTCATTGATAACAAATATGACCTCTTTTTCTCTGTCCTTGCAGACCAGAATGTCAGGCTTTGGGTCTAACTGTTCTTGTGGATGCTCGTCGCTGTTCACCGGTTCCTGCTCTCTTCAAGGCGTTCAGCATATTGCAGGTGAGCCTTGAGCTTGGGCAAAGGAACACTAGTTGGCTTACCATCTTGGTTGGATGTTACATCTCCATCTGCTGCTTATGTCTCCATCTGCCACCTGGCTTTCAGTTGGCTTTGGGAGGTGGAGTTATGCACCCAGCCCTGTTTTAGAAGAATGACCTGCACTTGCCAGACTGCAGACAAAGCAGAAAACCTGAGCAAATCTGAGTTGGGGGAGAACACCCCTCCCCATGCCGCCAAATTTGTTTCTGTCTCTGTGCTGAGAACAGCCTGTACCCAAGTCGAAAATCTGTCATGAATTATCATGCTTGGAGATGCTGTCCCCTGCACAGAGAGGCTGTGTGAAATATGCAGGGATTTTTGCCCACCACAGAGAAGGGAGGAAGAGAGGCCTCTGCCTGCTGTGGAGGGAAGGGAAGGACACTGCTTGTCATGCCAGGTGGAAGAGCGCATGCAGCTGTTGATGTGGCTGTCGGTGAATGATTGGAATTGGACATGCTGTAACTCTATATTGCTTCAGGTCAAAGGCTTTCATATCAGTCACTTGGAAAGCAAGTGTTGCCCCCCCTCCCAGATAGAAGCTATCTGCTGCTGTTAGAAAGGCAAAGGAGATACTGGGTTTTAGTTATGACTAACCTTGTTTAAGCAGGTGTTCCTTTTAAATCAGAGCTTAGGTCTCTTAGGACTCAACCTCTGCAAACTGGAACAGGGCTATGTTTTAATGAACCTGGTTTCTCTGTGGTTTATGTGCTTCAGTGCCACATCTGAGAGTTGGGGCTGAGTCAGAGGTCTGTCCTCCTGCTGGGTGGAGCTGTGAGCTCTATCAGCATGCTCATTCTCTGTGGTGAAGGAGTAATCTGGTGCCCTGCTCAGTTCTGCAGAGGTGACAAGCAAGTTATCTTCTCTTTTATGCTGTGCCCACATGGCAGTGGGCTTGCTAAAACTTTTGAGTGTTCCGTTGCCCATGGTTGCATGGTCCTGTCTTAGTGAGATGATTTGAAAATTGGCAACACGTTGAGACACGATGTGCTTTTTGGGTCCCCAGTCTCATACAAGCATGGCATGAATAAAGCCATTCAAACCTTAAGTTTCCTACCCTCTGAAAAGAGGAGGGGTAGGAAAGCTTTTTGCAGTGCTTCTGTAATATCCTGCTGTGATGGCTGTTTGGCTCTGAGCAACTCATTATCAGGGTGGTGCAACAGTTAGTTAACAGGGATTAATGTGCTGCAAGACAGATTGCTGGAGCTGAGTGTGTGCTCCAGGTAACAGTCACTGACAGAGGCTGATTACTCTGCTTGTGGTTTTTTTGGTCCTTACCCTGGCTGTTCTGCAGACTCTGTAAACAAGACCTGTTCAGCTAGCTCGTCATCTGGCTATGGCACAGGAATAATCCCCTGGCTCCTCTGGGCCTTTTGGTGATCCTTGGCATTTACCTTTGTGATCCCACAGCAGCACTTTCATCTGCTCTGAAACAGGGATAGAGAAATACAGAAAACTGACTATAACTACAGTGAGGCAAGCTAGGCTTTCTAGAGTGCAGCACGGTTTGCTGGCCGGTGGATACAGAAGCACAGACTGTATGTTGTGCCTGTAAGGTCACAAAACAGATCATCTCCTTGGGGTCCTTTCTGAAATCCCTGACGCATCTCCCAGTGTCTCTTATCTCTGGCAGACTGTCTCTGGAGCTCATTTCTCTGCTGTTCTGCTCTCCACTTCAACCGAACTTTATTTACATGGCTTTTGTGAAGCCTACTATGATAGTGTGGGTGGAATCTGTTAAACATTGAGATCAAGTGTTGCTTGTTCAATGTTGAAGGGATGTTTTCCTCTTGAGCAGTGAGGAGCACTGCTTCACAGTGGGTAAGCACGGGTCGGATGACCTAATGCAGAGTCCCTGCCTGCTGCAGTGCTTGGATCTGTTAACCCTAGAGAACCTCACTGGGGAGGGAAGACTTTGATCCCACAGGTTTCTGGGTCAAGATCTGTCAGTCTGAGGAAATACTTACTCCACTCTTCCATCTTTCTGGAATAATTGCATGAATAGACTTTTTAAGTGCTAATAGAAAACTTTTGGTGCTTGCAGTTAGCTTTCCCTACAGTGCTGGGAGACTGTCAGTTGCTCTGTCTTGAGTTGCCTAGTAAATGGTGAAAGCTTCTCATCCTCTCTGCCTTCAGGGTGGGGGGAGATGTGTTCTGCAAGACTTTCTTCCCCTTTCCTTTTTAGAATATGGGTGGCTGGGAAATCCTTCTGTTCCAGACGGCGCTGGGAGCAGGGGCAGAATAAAGTGCTGCAGCAGAGCTAACTCAGGAAGGAGCAAGGAGGAACTCTGGCAGCTCTGTATGGAGGTGAAGGGAAATGTGCAGTGCGTACGTGCTGCAAGAATAGATCATGCTTGTTCCTGTGGGGAGCTGCATAATGATGCTTTGGAGCAAGGATTTTTGCAGAGGTAAATGCTGCTGTGATATTTGGTCACAGGTTGTCACCAGTAAGTTTTGTGCTGGGAGGCCTGTTCAGAGGAACTTTGCCACTCAGTAGTGCTGGGCCGATCCCTTGGTCAGCGAGCAGGCATGGCATGGACAGGGGAATGTGTGCACTGGCCTTCAGTGAACAGACATCTGTGGGATTTCCCTCTGCCTTAGTCTTTATAAAGTAAGATTCTTTTGAATTTCGCATATCAGTGTGAACGCTTAATCCTGTAATCTGCTGCAACTATGTGTTGGATTGGGAAGGGAAGAGTCAGTTTATGAAGACAGATACAGTAACAGTTCAAAGCAGAAAACTTCTGTGCAAACCTTTCTGTTCAAGGGGTATATTTACATACCCTGTTACTGCAGAAGTACAGAGGACCTTGGTCTGACGTTAAAGACTAGGGACCTACTACTACTCTGTAGAAGTGGTCACTTTGAGGTTCAACATGGTATTTGGGGACTGTCCCATCTGCACAGACATTCCTGGCAGCCTGTGCTTCAAACCATGCCAGTGATGTTAAGTCTGGCCATGGGCTTCCATTTGGGCCAGGAAGCCAGAAGACTGTTTGAAACTTCAGTCTGAGAAAGATGGAAGAAAGTACCTAATCCTCTTTTTAAAGAATAATTTATTATTATTCTTGGGATGGATGTTTACCCTGGTGCTTTCTGAGCTCCTGTTGATGCCACTCTATTCTATGCTGTCCACACTGTGCCTGTTTTGGGAGGTGAGGAGTTCACTTACATGTGTGGGACTCTTTCTTTGCTTCCAGATAGCTAGTTTTGTTAGCAAAGGTGGTAAAAGATTGTGCAGAAAGCTGCAGGAAAGCTTCCTCAGGTAGCATCCTGCTGCTTCCAGCTCTGCCTTGTCTCCCAAGGCGCTCCTGTAAACTGTTTTAGTTCATTTGGATTGCTCCATCAGTGCTGGATGAGACTGACTTATCTTCAGCTCTTTAAAGAAAAAAATACGGTGAAAAATACTTTTCTTTGGAAATACGACTACTTCTTGGATTTGAAAACCCTGAACTTCTCTTCTGACAGCTTTATTTGTGAATGGTTTTTCAATCTCTATTTTCAGCAGTAACAAACAAGCGAGTGTTTTGGCTGTTGTAGCCTCGTGTTACACCATCACTACCTTTATCCCTCACTCAGATTGCACATCTCATGACTGTTGGAGCAGAAGAGGGGTTGTGAAAGAATAAATTTATTTAGTGCCATGAACTGTCTTGAAAGTGTGGCTGGTCTTTATCCTCCAGTACTTTCTGGCAGACAAATTCAGAGCTGCTGATGCAGCTGTAATACCTCCCCATCCTCTCTTCAGATGAGCTTTAGGGTTTACCTAATACAGCCTAATTATGCAATAAATTCTTTTTGGCCTTTTGATCAGTTTTCAAGTAACAGTGAAAGTGTGAATAATTTGCTTTGGAGAAAGGGTTTGAGGAGACTGAGAAACCTCTCACTGTTTTGGGAGGCATTTCAGTTGGGATTTTTTTCCTGCCAATTCAAAAGGATCCTGTTTTAGGACTAGATGAGAGAAAGGTCTTTTCGTCTTTGCTGCTGCTTTCACTTGCGGAATTGGGTCTCCTTGTGTTGGCATTGTTTATTAATTTCTGTAGTGGGCCCAGTGTCAGGTGGCTCAGTCTCTGCTGGTGCACTAGCTTCTCTACTCTGGCTCTGCTGCTCATGTTGGATATTTAACCTTAAACACTGCTGGAGTAATTCATTTAAACAGGGTTCCCTTGCTGTCATGGCCTGCTCTGTGGCATGTTCCTTGCAGCTCAAGCAATACAGGAAAGGATTTGTTGCTTGACAGTTTCCAGGATATTCGCAGAGGCAAAGACCATCTAGGAGGCATCTAGATGGGATGGCTCTTACTTAACCATGTGGAATGACAGCTCAAATGGCTGTTCTCCTTGCTATCCAGATCCAGGCATCGTGTATTTTGTGGGCCCTGTCTCCATAATCTGGATCTTTCTACTACATTTCCCTCTTCTTGCTGTCGCTCTCTGTGCCTGTTTCTCACTTCCCTGTAGAATGCTTCTGTAATTGGAGTGCTGCTCCTGGATCACAGAGTTTGAACTACAGCTGCTAGATGTCCCTTGTATTTGGAATTTCTGTTGGTTTAACAGTAGCAACAGGATGTAAGTCCTTGATTGTGAGTTGGCAGTAAGTAAAGACAAGACAACGTTTTTTGGCACTGTGGGGAAAAAATACTTCCTTTCAGTTAGGAGTGACCAGGAAGGTTTATCACAAAAAACCTTGGACATTGAATATGGTTCTTTTTTTTTTTTTCCCCCTGACACATTTCTCTGTGTAGAAGGCAGAGGTTTTTTTTAGTACAGCCAAGACCTGACCTCTTTCATTGCTTCCTTAAATACTGCAGGACTAGTTGATCTGAAGCAAACTACCTTAACGACATAGCCTTGGTGCTCTGTAGAATGGCCTTCCCTATTACTTCCAGGCTTCGTAAATGCCTTTGAAGGATAAATTGCAATCTCTTGTGCAGACTTGGTATGGTACATTTCCCTTAGCATCCCAGACAGAAAGGTAATGGATTTGGACTCTGTTCTGTTGTAGGACATGGATCCTCATTGTATTCATGGAGTACTGCTTCTGGTTGAAAGAGATCTGACTTTTCGGATGGACAAGCCACCAGCAGGACAGGTAATGGGGTTGCTGGGGAGCTCTTGATATCCTTTATTTAACTGTCTGAACAGCGAATTCTCTGTCTGCTGATGTATGTTTATTCTCACGTGAAATCTTTGTAGTTGTTCTCTGTATTTTATGGTTGTGGTCTCTTATGGGTGTGGTATTTACAGGGTTGTAAAGTTTATGTGAGCTGAACATATCTCTGTCATGCTGTGTTTATTGTCAAGTCCATTGGTGACATTTGTACCATAATTATGTCAGTCTGCTGGGGCCCTCAAGACACGGGGGGTTTGTTGGGAACATGGATAGCTGTGTGGAGGAGCCCTGCACAATTAATAGTAATAGAGATGCTTTTCATGTTCTCCTGTTAACAAGGGGGGAAAGTTCTTGGTCAGGAAGAGATCACATTAGGCTAAATTCTGAACTCCATCCTTTGGAGGTACTTGTTGCCTTCCTGGCTTTTGCATATCTCATGTTTCCTCTCCTCATATCTGCTGCTGTCAGCGGCTAAGACTTCTGCAAGAGGGGAAAGAGGAGATGTTTATGTGTGTGAGGTTCCCTTTGCAGCTGAAATGTCTGGGAAGACTAACAGGAGGTGCTAATGGAGGAAGGAAAATCATCACAACATCACTGAACACCCCCAGTAGAAGGAAATCTGCTTTGGCATTCCATAGCTTGTTGAGTCTCCATCCCTAGAGGTATTTAAAGAATGGATAGAGGTGGTGCTCGAGGACATGGTAGAGATGGACATGGTATAGATGGACTTGGCAGTGATAGGTTAACGGTTGGACTTGATGATCTTAAGGGTCTTTTCCAACCTTAATGATTCTATGATAGCTGTATAAGAAATGTAGGCTCTCAGCTACTCTCTGTCTGTGGTGAGTGAACAGAGCATCAGACTGCATCTTAGTCATCTCTGCTCTAAGACTGTTACAAGCTACAAGAGCGGACTGAAATTCTGTGCCTGTCAAAACCTTGTAGACTTCAGAGTAGGCCAGGACCTCCCTTTTGGCTCCTGTGGATGAAGATACTGTGAATAGCATCAGTTTTGCTGTGTGTGTGGTGTGCTGCCCTGAAAGGCTAAAGAATAACAAATGCTATTAGTCCATTTCCTCATTGCCCTCATGTGGAGGAATTTGAAGTGAGAAAGGGGGCTGCAGATGTGTGCATGCAGGGAGAGCTACAGAAGACACTAAACGCATTGAACAAATCCGAAATGTGTAGGAGGGAACAGAGCAAAGTGTAATAGACACGGGCATGCGGGAGGAAGGCGTTAAATGTCTGCACCTGAGTTCCTGGTGTCTGGGCTGGCCTCCATGTACCTGCAGGAGCACTTGTCTATTTCTCTGGTGAGTATAAAAATGCTCTGAGGTCCTACAGACTCACAGAAGGCAAGTTATCTGTGTCAAGATCCACTTGGAGCAAATAGCTGCTGTGATGAGTGGAGAGTTGAGGGTAGGGCAGAAGCTGCTCTGTTAAACTGTTTTTCCAGGAAGTGAGATGGGGAAGCTGGGGGCTGGATTTAACCTCTCAGACTCTCCAAACAAATGCAAATCGCAGCACAACACACGTGGGAACATATGAGGGAGTTGCTATGCTTATACTAGGAGGTACTGGCTCTGGAGAAGGCTGGCTGCTGCCAGAATTCCATCACAGATGTTCTGCTTGGTGAAACAGCATGTTGTGGCCTGCATTCCCTCAAGGTTCGCCCACTAAGCTGTACAGCAAGCTGCTGTAAGATTGAATTGATTTTTTTCCTTCATACTGTAGGTCTGTTGCAGAGATATGCTGTGTACCTGGTTTCTATGCAAGATAAAGAAATAAAGGATGCTGTCTTTCGTTAACCTTCCCCCTCCTCCTCCTCCAATACTCACACTCTAATGCAAATGTGCTTTTATTTCTTCTATTCCTGTGCAGTTTGAACTTCTCACCTCCATGAAATCCCTCCATAAGCACATAGACAGCTCACAGCTGCCTCTAGAACTGGATGGGACCTTCCCTTATTGCCACCGGGACTGGTTAAGCTTCCGCATGGTGAGTAGGATGTCTTGTGTTCTTTGGTATCTGAGAGAAGAAATGGTATGGTAATGGAGCTGAAGCAAGATGAGCTTGTCAACAGCTAAATCTACAAGCATTAAAAGACAGTGGTTCCTGTAATAGCTATGTATGCAAACGAATCTCTGTTATCAAAAGAATACTAATACTGTCTTCATAAAATGGATGCACACTGCAACCTATTGGCATGACTGCAGGAACTAAAATTTTAGTTTTTAACTCATCTGCTTGAACTGCATTAATTCAGATTTGACCATATTTTGAAGGGAAGGAAGAAACAGAACTCTGTTTTGTTGTGACAGACAGTGGCACTTTGGTTATACTCTGAGGCTTGAGGGCAAACACTTCTTGTGCTAATCTCAGGAGAAGGTGTTAGTATCACGTTGCCTTTGAACTCACAATCAAGAACTCGAGCATAATAGAAACAGTTAGATCCTGTTGGTTTTGGAGCAAGTTCCCCAGACCAGGCTAAGAGCTCCTTAGTAAAAACTGCAATCCTGGCAGGAGTAAAACTTGGAAGTTCCTGATAATCAGTTCAGATCCTTCTAGGAACATTTTTCCTCTTTTAGATATAATTCACTTAGCAAAGTTGTCATCAAATTTGAACTTTATAGAAAGCATCTAAACTAAAAGTACAGTGAAGTTTCGGCCCAGAGGAGCATTGTATTCCTCTTTGAGAGCTGGCCACGTCAGGAGATAAAACAAAAGAGACATGCAGATTCAATTCAGTGAGTCTTAGGACCAAGATAATAGTAGGAGGCAGTACCAGCAATCCATTCCTTCTCCCTGTTGTTTGGCTGCTTTGAGTATGCCTCCATACTGTGATCCTGTTTGACTTTGCGCTGTTCTCCAAAAGAGTCGTGGATCCACAGTGGACTGTACCCAGGTGCGGATCAGAGCCAGCCGAAGATGTAGGGAGGCTGACCACCCTGTGGAAATGTTTGAGCTGACCCAGGTTAAGCCTCAGAGATAGAAGGGCTGAAACTGCAGCACCTAGACACACCTTCTAAAGAAGGTAGCCCTGGCAAAGGGTGCTGCAGGCACTGATAAGGAGTGCTGCAGCCACCAGTGCAGCACACACTGTGGCAGGACTGCAGGTGTTGCTGGCCATGCAGCAGGGTATGTGCAGACTCCCAGAAGTCTGCAAAACTAGCATCTGTGGCACCAATACCTAGCTCTGTGTACACTCATGCTGTGGAGGGAGCGTAGGTCCTGGGGATCATGTGCTTGCTGAATCTTTAAAAGCTGTATTGAGAAATATTTGGCATGCTGAGACTAGACAGGATTAAATCTCTGTAAATCTGCAGACAAATTGGCTGTCTTCACATTGAGTTTGATTTGCTCACCCTGGTGGATGACAGAACCATCGCTTCTGCTTCCAAAAGGTTCAGTGGTCTTTCGGCTCTGACCTTGCTGCCCAGAGTGCTCTGTGGCACACTGCCAGCATTTGAAGCAGGTTAAGATATCATTCATAATACCACGGTGTTGCTGGTGGCAAGCTTCAGCAGTTAGGCTTAGTGCATGCCAAATGTTAACTTATTTTTTCCAACTTATTTTAGAACCCATTTTTTTAAAATTGCATCTAAAAGTACTAGTACAAACCTGTGCTGATGCAGTAGAGGTACAGAAACTTAATCTTGGTGCCTAGGATCGAATTTGAGAATTTGAGGTTTATTTGGCAGTGAGGAAGCAGAGAAGCTTTGCCAGAGGCTATGGATTAGTTTTCTGGATAGAGTTGAGAAAAGCTTGAGAGCTGAGGTGCTCTGTCTGTGCAGAAGGATAATTCTTGAGGGAAGGAACATGATATCAGACTACTTCTTGTTTGTGTCTTGCATCTTAACGTGCAAAACGTTACCAAAGGGAGTTAGTGTAGGCAACAATCTGTATGGGTTGCCTATTTATACGATGTACTCTGTGTGATAATGACCCATATGCTTAACCCCTTTAGATCTGCAGCTATGTGGCAAACAGCGTTTATTTCCTGTCTCAGTGATCTCACCTGCATCCTGCCTGCTAATTTGTCACTGCTGGGGCTGTTCCAGCACTCCAGGGAGAAGGGAGTTCAATTCAGTAAATATTCAAACAGCTGCTTTTTTGTTTTGTTTTGAGCGTGGTTGTTTTGGAATAGCTGTTTCTCCCTTCTCTGATTTCAGTGGCTAGAGGGTGGCATCTGACAGTATTTAGGGTTTATATCACTGACCTTTCTAAAAAGTACTGTCTCATAAAGCCTTGTGAAATGTTTTGGGGGTTCCCCCCCACCCTGAAGAGAGGAGGGATTTCAGATTTGGCAGTAGTTCAAGGTGCTTAATTGTGGATGCTTTCCAGTTTCCTAATCTTAAATTTACACTACTTTTAATATTAAGAGAAATGATTTAGAGAAATTCCAAGTACTCATTCTATCTTTTGTTCCTCCAAAATTCATGCATAGTGATTCATCTTAGTGGGAAGTTACAAGAAACACTAATAGTAGAAGAATGTGGGACACAAGTGGACTGATTTTTCTTTTCTGTAAAGCATGACCCATACAAGCCAAGAGTATGCAAGTTTATAAGGTCTGCATAGAGGCCTTGGTATAGCATGATGCATCTGAAGCCTCCGATGGGCCTCTCTTCGCTGATGCAGCCTCACTGAATGGTATAATTGAACCCTTGGGTTAATGTGTTTGATTTCTTTACTTTTAACCTTCTGCAAGCTGAAAAGACAGCATTCCTGTCAGCTGTGAGACAATAATCTCTGCCTTGGCCCTTTCTTCTTGTAGAAGCTGGAACATTTGCTACAAGGATGCCAAGGTGCTTGTGCCTTCCTCCAGGGAGCTATTCATAAAGTGGAACCTGGAAAATTGCCAGAAAGAGCTGAGGTAAGCATGTCCCTGACCTCATATCAGAGATGGGCCTGAGACAGAAGAGAGCAGGAGGCTGAATAGCTGCAGAAAAGCTGTAGCTTTGAATCTGAAAGCTGTAGTAGCAGGGTATTCTGAGTGCCGTGTATCACTGTGGAGCTGTCAGGACAGCAGGACTAGTAGAAACTAATCCAAATGAAGTGATAGAGGCTCCACTGGGTGTAGAAGCTGGTTCTGTGATCCCTCAGCATCACCCAGGAGATCTCTTCAGCTGTGCTTGTTGCTGATGGGTGCTTGCTCCAGCATTGGAGTGCATTCTTAGCAGCTCCACAGCTCCATGGCTGGTACTAGCTTTGGTGTCTCTAGTACTGCACAGCTGCCTCAGGCTGTGCCACACCAGCTTGGCTTGAATGGCCTGGAATAAAGTTAGGTGACAACATAGTGTTCACCAGGCCAAGGCTGTGCTGTGGTTCTAGCTTTGCTGCCTCCAGAACAGAAGTTTGGAAGTGTGCAAGAGGAGGAGGGTACAAAGACGGAGCCTGTGTTGTTGCAAACGTTCCATTCCCCCACTCTTGAGAAACTGCTGTACCCCTGACATGGTAGGAAGTTGCTGCCAGCTCTGCACTAGGGGTCCCGACAGTAAAGCAATAGAAGATATCATAGTGGCCTCTCTGGGCCTTCCTGCATGCATGTGTATATCCACAAACCCTTCATGTCCATCTTGTCCCACAGCTTGGAGCTGTGCAGGTCCAGGCTCTAAGAACAGTGGGAGCTAGCTGTGAGTGGAAATAGAGGCTGGAAAGCTTATTCTTTCTATGCCCAGCAAATAGAGTATGGATAATGACAGGAACTGGGTTTCAATTTTAGCCTGGTGGGGAAAGTACTGAGAGCATAAGGAGTGCTGTTTATCACTGGATTTGGCAGGCTTGAGAGAAACAGCTGTGGGAACCAACCTCCCTCTTTCCTAGGGTGGGCCAAGGTGAGATGTGGTTTGTGTGTGTTTTGGGTTGGGTGCTGGTTTTTGCCTGTTCCCTCATTGCCTGTAGGTTGCAGTAACTGCTCATCTCACTCTTGCAATCCCTCCAGGAGGCAGCTGTGCTGCTGAGGAATTACAGGCAGCTGATGAAGAATGTTCTTGAAGATACACGGCTGGTCAGGCTGCAGCTGGAAGGTGGAGCGCTCCTGGCCAGACTGAGGAAGGAGGAGTCTTGTGTCACCCTCACCCACGACTACAGGTGAGGCCCAAGGGTGGGAGAAGAGGAGATTGAGATGAGCAGAAAGCAGGCACTGGGAGTATCTCTGAGATGACCTATTGTTGGTGCACACTAGAGAGCAGCTTCGTGTAGCGAGGAGAAAACAGCAAAGGTGAAAAGCGTAATGAATTTTACTCTTATCCTGACTACTTCTTCCCCAGTCCAAAAACTTGTATAGATGGATTCACTTAGATGGTTAAAGTTCCTTTTCCAAGCCAAATCAGACTTATCTTCTGTAGTGGAGAGAGAGCTGGATATTTTGTGCAACTCTAAAATGATGATGCCAGTGATGAATGTTTAGGTCCAAGGCATTATCGCTGTGTGATTTACCAAGGCACTCCTTATGCAGGGGGATTTCCAAGGATCTCAACTGCGAGGAATGCTTTCTGGCTGAAGCAAGCTCTCATCTCCTCACACATTGGTACGGTTTGCACAAACAAATATTCACTGCCTGTTTGCAGAGTTGGTATGAGAAGTGGGGACTGAGAGAGGCCAGCTGTTTGAAATCCCCAGGGCATTGCACAACTCCTGTTTGCACTGTTAAAACACCTGAAGCCTATCAGTGTGTGAAGGCCTCTGTGATATGTGCTGTGCAAACAGTAAGGTAGAAAGGCAGCCCTTGCACCCAGCAGCTTCCAGCTTGAGTGTGAGATAAATGCTGGTGTGCGGGTACAGATGGGGGTGTAGCGGAAGGCAGGGCGGCGTGGAATGGCTCCGTTCATCTGCAGCCTTGCTCTGGTTAAACTCTGTTGCCATCACAAGCTGGGAGGTTTTAAGGGGAGGAATGGAGACAAGATAACAAAACAGCTTGCAGAGAATCTCACCCAAACACTAGGAAAAGAACAACATTTCTCTTTGAAAATTCAGCAAGGGGATGATGGTGCAAGTTGCTACCTGTCACTGGGAGATGGGGATCGGCATTTTGGTGCTGAGTGAGAGGGGAGCATGGGGACAGGTGTAACCATTTCTTTTCCCTGTTTGCTGTGCCTCCTGTCAGCAGCTCTGGCAGGCTGTGCAGACACAACTTTTTTGCTGAACTGGTGAAGTACTCATGGTGCAATTTTGGATAGAATTAGTGCAGTATAGCCTTTCCATTCTGACATGATGTGAGAAGCACAGATAATGCAGGTTGTTGTTTTGGTTTTGTATTGATTTTTTATTTTATTTTAAGCAACACACAGCAACTTTAGGGTCTTAAGAGAATGGGGAGAATGTGCATGGTTTTTATGTTTGGTTTTGGGTTTAAGCTAAGCCTGTGTTCTTGTGCAGGGAAATGATCAACTTTGAAACCAGACACAGAGGCCCCAAGGATAACTTACTGCTTTGATTACCTTAGCAAGGGCAGCGGTGAGGGATACACACATAATTCTTTGATTGCACAGTGAGTGCATGCTGAGGCTGTGTAGCATGTTCTCTGTTTAATTCAGGTTATAGTCATTGCCTGCTGGTATGAATGGAGAATGTATACTATGGATCAAATATATGTGGCTCTCTCCAGCCTGAGGAGCATAAATGAAAGTAGTGGGAGAAAGTTGGTCCTCTTCTAGCCTGCGGAGCAGTCGCAGAAACTAAAATCCATGCAGCATTTTAATTGAGGAAATGCCTGCTTGTCATGTAACTCAGGGCAAAGGACTAAAGAAGTCTGCTCTTCCCTGTTCCATGATCCTTTTAAATGGGGGAAAAGGCTCTATCACTTGGCCAGAGATCTCTGTATAAGGCACTACTGGTTTTATATCTTCTATGGCTCTGCACTTTCTCCTTCTCTCCAAGCTGGTGTGCAGATATTAAAGGTTCTGTGCTTTGCTAACCCTGTAAAGGCTCCTATGGTTATGATTTTCAAAGGCTTCTTTAACAGATAGGGTCAAAGCAGGGTAGGGACAAGATATTGTAGTTGGCCTACTAAGCTAGCATGGAGTGGCTATTGATGTATTTGGGTCCGATACTAGATTTTTTTTGGTTGGTAACATGTAAAAATGGAACAGGACTGGTTGTGACTGTGCATGCAGCAGCGCCTGTTGTACTGCTTTTCTGAACTTTGAATTGTAACATCTTGATCAATGCTTAACAGTCTCTAATTCCACACTCACTCCCCCAATACCTGAAATCAAATTATTTACAAAAGCAAGTCAAATGGCTTTACCCTTCTGAGCCACCTTTTGGCTCTTGTGTTAGTCACATGTCCCATTTTTTTTTTTTTTTTTTTTTTTTTTTTGCAAAAGCCTGATCAAGCAGGGAGCCATGACTGGCAAGTTTTCTTAGTCGAAGTTGAGGCCAGCTGTGTAACTGTCAAAATGTGCAAGAAATGCATATAAATAGAGCAAAAAAATTTAAGAGCAGTTTTCTTGGCTCTTTTGTTAGTCACATGTCCCATTTTTTTTTTTTTTTTCTTCTCTCTTGTGCAAAAGCCTGATCAAGCAGAGAGTCATGACTGGCAAGACTTCTTAGTCAGAAGTTGAGGCCAGCTGTGTAACTGTCAAAATGTGCAAGAAATGCATATAAATAGAGCAAAAAAATTTAAGAGCAGTTTTCTGGACTTTTAGTTCCACTTAATTAAAATATGCCAACCAAAAGTGCAGAACTAAAGGTAAAAAACGTGATTTTTCTTAAGAGGCACAAAGAAGACAAGCCCAGCTGCACTGTTACCTTGGGATTAAACAAGCAAGAGATTGACTTGCCCTTTTTTTGCAAGGGATATGTTTTGCCAGCTCTCACAGCTGTCTTTCTTGCTAGTTTGTGGCTTCATGTAGCAAAAAGAATACCAGGAGGTGGTAAGAATAGAGATGGACAAACGTGTCTGAAAATGCTTGACTGCAGGTTAGAGATAGTATGCTAAAATAGGCAAGGAAGCAGGCTTGTGCTCTGTGCACTCAGATGTTATCTGCCAAATACCTTTTGGGGACCACACAGCAAACGGGACTTGCTTTAGCCTTTCTTTAGTAATGAAACTCTTCCCTTGGGGCGGGTTTTGGCATGTTTCCCTGCTCTGCCCTCCTGGAGAGCCAAGATGCCCTTTGGAGTGTTTCATGACACAGAGCAGTGAGCTCTCATTGCAGCTGAGGTCTGACCCAGGCTTTGCAAGGATTTGCTAAGCCAGTGACACAGCTCCTTTCCTCCAGAAACTGAACTCATCCCATCAGAGATGTGGTCATGCAGGAGAGATGCATTGTGGTGCATCCATTTGTTTCTCTGACAGATACTTTAAGAGCCTTCAGGAGTTCCTCCTGGATGGTCCCATCCTGAGATGCTGTAACACCACAGCAGTGGCTTTGACCAGAAACTCTACTCACTCTCTGTTCCCAGTGTGAGCTGGCCGAGGGTCTCCATACTCCTTTCTCCACCAAGTACCTCTGTAAAAGATACCCTTACCTATCCAGCTGCTTATCCATAAAGGTAAAGAAAGACTTCTCCAAGCAGTCTTTCTGGATCTCAGCCTTTTCCCGGCATAGAAAGGAGGAGCTCTGTTACCAGAATACGCATCCTGCAGGCAGCCCATCACAGGGAGCTGGCTAAGGCGATGTGGTGTGCTCAGCTGGTCCCACACCGTTCTCCCACCTCCGGGAAGACCAAGCTGAATTTGGCCTAGAGTTGGCATGGGTGTGGTACTGCCGAGCCAGTGTCTTTGTGGTGGCTCTTTAAGTGCTGTAATGATCGCTTCAGCACAGGCTGGCCACCCAAAGGTGCAGGTGGACTGCTGAAGGCGGCATTGCCACTTTTTCATTGTTGGAGGAGCTGGCTGCATTTAAAGCCAGCACATTTGCCTTCACACCATCTGCTGCTCTGAAGGCTCAGTGCTTCTCCAGGTCTGTTAGCTGAAAGTTTCCAGGTTTCGCTGTCCCAGTCTTTCTGGGGATTGAAATGCAGAGCTGTTAGCCTAGCTGAAGTTCCTGTTGGTAAGTGTGGACAAATGCCACAGGGACACCCATCACTTTAATGTTACTAATACTTATTTTTGCACTTTTGGACAGGAAATCTTCTTAATAAACATGGTCTTTTTAATAAGTTACATAGAGTTGGCTAGCAGGTGTATCTCTGGCTTCTGGATATCTAGTGTATTGATCAACCAGCCTGTGGCTTGTAAGCAACTCACTAAGCCAGTTGTGGAAGGTGGATAAAGCATTGCTTATTTTGTGCTGGATTTCGAAGACTTCCCTGACACTTCCATCATAAGCCTGGAGAATTTGCCAGGAGCCAGGCAACAGCAGTGGAAGCTCTTAGTACAGTGACCCAGTTGCGTGGGGCTGGACAGAAAGACAGGGAGACTTAACCTGGTCTTTAGCCCAACATTTTCCACTGTTGTTCTCATTATTGCTGCTCTTCCAGCATAGCCGAGAGCTGGGAACGTTTGCCTAGACAAGGTGTCCAGTGATCCCTTTTGTCTTCTAGATACGCTATGAGTCAGAAGTGGAGTAAAGAAGATATGAACATTTTATATTAATATAAAGGTGCCTTATACTAGTTGAACCAGAATACACCTGGCACATGCCTGGCTCTACCAGCAAACCTGCGTTCTCAGCGTGACATGGGAGTGGGATTGCATCATGCTCTGCATGTTGGTAGTCAAGATAGCCACAAGACTTGATGTGAGAGCTGAAAGAAAAAGAAAAACCTCGGATGATGAAGGAGTGACCAAGCTGGGTGCTGGGCTCTGTGCGATATGGAACCAGAAAAAGCATAATCTCTTCCCCCAAGCTCCTAATCTGAAAAGAATTTGTGCTTGCAAGCTGTGAATAAGCAGCTTATAAATAGATGGAGGAGTGAATTCTGCTTTTGTTTGCAGAAGGCAGTATAGTTAGTCTCTGTACTTTGAGGGTGGAGTGGCTAGAGCCAAGAGCTGGTTTTGTGAGCTGGCTATTTTTAGTGTGGCTTGGTGATCTGGTTGGAAGCCCTGGGTGGGGACCTGAGCAGAGCAGAGGTAATGGGCAGTGCGGAGCAGACTTCCTGAGCAGCAGCTGCGAGGTTCCTGATGCTGGACCTGACTCAAC